TATTTTTTTTTAATAGTTAACTTTTAAATGACTATATAATTTTTAAATTAAAAATAACTTTCAACACATTAGTCAAGTGTTCTTAGTATTTGCAGTGTTTGCTTTCTTCTTATTATTATTAACTGTGTGCTTGTCTCAAATCAATTCTGGGGCGTTGTGGGATTGCCAATGGTAAGTGAATAACTAAATAGAGAAAACCCTGTAAAGCAATTGGGGTGGGGTCAGTAGAGGAGGATTAAAACAAGCATTTCATCACTCTGACTTCTCCTCATCCCTTTTTTCTAGTCTACATTTCTAAACCTCATAGACTCTCTCTGCAGATTTCATAATTTCAGTTGTACCCAACTCATCCATCTTATAATTATGAATATATGGGCATAATTAACTGAATCACTTTGAGAGAGAGAGAGAAAAAAAACATCCCCTACTTAAGGCTAATTAGATGAATCACAAATGCCTGGAAGAATGCATTCAATAAGGTGAAAACTTTGGATAAAAATTTAATGAAGTTTCTAATTGCATTTGACCACAGAGAATACTGATAGAAGTTCATCCCAAGCAGATGATTAAATTGTATTGATTTGGGGTCCCAGAGACTAAACACCACCATTGCCTCCAGAGGAGACCTAATTGCACTCACATGACACATTCATAAAAAACACAGTGCCCTAATTGGGCGTCTCCCGCCATCTGCATACTTGTTTCCAGGCGCACGTGAAATGATCAATGGGAAAGTAGGGTCAATCCAGGCAGACAGTGAGTGAAATTAAAATAATAAAATGTCTAAACATTTAACTGCAAATAGGAAATCTCTATACCCGCCCACACCCTATTCTGCAACATAAAGCTAAGGCACAATTATTCATATACCTCAAGTAATTTGCAGGCTCCATACAAGATCTCGTTTAAAATAAGAAACTGCTATTTCTGCACATTTATTCCACCAAATGCCAGCTAATTGCTGCAATGGCCATTATAAAGAATAATTTTCGCTCGGTGAAGAAAAAAAAAAAAAAGGAATGAAGAGAACATTTTCTGGTTTTGTTCCACAGCGAAGGCTCTATTCAGTGAATGCTGAATGCACAGCGTTTCAGTGCTACATTTATTATGCTGAGAGGTCAAGTATTACACAGCATCTTGTATTACGCTTTGCATGCTAAGTATTTCACTTCACAAATTGACCCTCCGGTGTACTTACTACATAATGCTTTAAAAACCCAGCTAAAACGCAGGACAATTAGCAATACTTTCACTCCCCGCGAACAATGGGAACACCAATGTAGGTGATTGCATTTACAGTGTAGCTTTCTGCACAAAAACATTTTTGACACATTAAGGTACTTCGGAATTGTGCAGTACCAGTCCTCTCTTGTGAATGGCTTCCCAGCATTTGCAGAGAGAAACAGTTACTGTATGTTAGAGCTTAATTGAAAAGAATTCAGCCACGGCCTATGAAGCACCAATTAGGATGATATTATATCATAAAAAGCTGTAATATCCATTTTCAGACTTGTGCATCAGCCAGTATAAAGTAGGACACAATTAAAAAGGTATACAGTTTAAACTCTTGTAACTGTTCAATTTAATTAGGAGTTCAGTCTGAGGGGGACAGTGTGAGGGGAGGGATCTCAGAGCAGAAGACGGCAGGCACAGCCGCCCAGGAGACCCCAGACGCTGGTCCTTCCCACTGAAGCCACCTTTGGTTAATGGAAGCGGGGGTGGAGGTGTTTGTTTTGCCCCAGGAACTAGATTGAGGGTAGATGAATATTCATGGTAGTTGAGAGTGCTGCTTTCCAGTAACGCTGGCTGGCGTCTGCTGAGGTCTGGGAGGGAGGGAAGGCAGGACCTGCCTGGGACCAGGAAAGTGGGAGCGTGATATTGATGTGCTCTTGCCCACACAGATCAAACACAATTAAAAGGGAGTTAACTGCATTGCTTTTCACGAGGAAAGACACATAATTGTGAAATAAAATGGACATGGCCAGTTTGGTATAAGTGTCTCTGCAGGCTTGGCTCTGAATATAATATTTAAATACTGGAAACTGCATGAAATCCCGCTTTGAGGTGACCGCCAGCAGGTAATTATCAGTGAAACAACATTATCAGAGTTCTCGTGCATAGCGTGTTTGACTGCCTGGAGCACTTCTCTTTACAAATCCTGCTAATCTCCATTTCAGTCTGCTTTAATATGTTCACAAGTTGGGGCTTATTTTGAATTCCACTGGGTAAATGAGGAGAGCACACGTTGAATTTACATACTATGTGCATTCCTTTCATTTATCGAAGGTTTCTAGAGCATTTTTTGAAGGAAGCTGCTAACATCCAGACTTTTTTTTTTTTTTAAATCCTCACTATAACTAGAATGAAAATAGAAAGCTCATTTACCTATTGTATTTATACCATTTGAAGCTATATAACAGTTCTATAAAAATAGTTTTTTTTTTTATGTTTGAAGAAGAGAAGTTATTTTAACCAGGTACCAGTGTTGATGCAATTGCTAAGGTATTCAAGGTATTGAAATTAAAAGTTAATTTAAAAAAGAAGTCCGTGTTTGAGCCCAGCCGGGTATAGTTCAGCGGTTGAGTGTCAACCCAAGAACCAAGAGGTCACTGGTTCGATTCCCGGTCAGGGCATATCTCCTGTGAGGGGCGTGCAGGAGGCAGCCAGTCAATGATTCTCTCCCATTGATATTTCTATCTCTCTCCCCCTCTCCCTTCCTCTCTGAAATCAATAAAAATATATCTTTTAAAAAAGTCTGTGTTTGAAAACTGCAGGTAGAAAGTCCTCATCTCTGATTTAAGGTCTTCCCTTGATCCACAAGGTTATTCTAGGCCTTTTAAAATTTCCACCTCTTTCCTATTCAACAAATAAGCAAAACTGAAGTGACATGTTGTTAATGAGATAAATTTCAGTTTTAGATGACCTGAAACCAGATATTCCATCTTCCCTTCTGAAGCATAGTAACCTCCATCTTATATAAAAACTGCTGTTTGAAATTTTAACCCTGCTACATTGGCTTCTGTAAACACTTGCTTAAATAATAGAGAAAATAAGACTACTCCCATTCCAGGGAGGCCATAAACTATGTCCCAGTCAGAGTTGTCATTGTTGGCACTAGGCCAGGCCTTGAGATATGGTCTCATGGCCCCTTCCCAGCACACAGGGCTTCTTTCTCAGAAGGTCCAAAAGTCTCACTTCAAATTTGGGAAACAAAGGACTAGGAAAAAATATAAATAAAGAAAGCTTCCTCAAAGTGTTTGCTCAGAATTTGAAAGACATTTTTCTCTGGGCCCATGCATAAAAATAATAATAAAATGTAACCCCATTTCTCTAAGCATTGCTTAGTTTTTCTCCAGTCTTCTGTAACACTTCTTCTTCAACCAACTCTTCATCATGATCTTAAAAAAGTCAGGACACTGACAGAGGTATCTCATTACAGATCCAAGAATGCCCTATTCTCAAACCTACTGTCAGTTCCAGGAATTCAGAAGACTCAGTCACTACTTTGGAGCAATCTGATACCCAACATGGTGCTAATACCTTGAATTAAATTAGGACAATAATAAAATAGTGATAGGTACCATGGAACACCACAGTGATGCTGCATTACATTGGACAAGCCGGTTTGGTTTTAATGGTTGTACATATAACAAGAGGCATGTTTTTATTTAGAGAGTCTAACTTTGAAAATGGGGTCAGTTAGCAGATTCTAAGGTGGTAGTGGTATGAAGATTATTTTATTTTAATGGAAATGAAGCTGAAATGAATGTGATTAATATAGGAGGGATTTTGAGGGATATGAACATGAAGGGATTTAGATATGCTCAAGCAATTGCATAGAAATTATACACTGAATGATCTAGGTTCTAGACCTTTCTATCCAATCCTTTTCCTGTTGGATTCCCCTTATTAAATGAAAAAAACAGGGGAGGTTCAGTTTTCAAGTTTTAGAGACAATTTAGTAGCTTGTATTAAGACTCTTCCAAGGTGATAAGTGTTTTTCTGTTTTCTAACTATTGGTATTTCTGTAATTTTCATCCTATGAAGAGGCTGAGGGAATTAATTATCCCATGTAGTCTAGGACTGGTTTGATGATAAAATTGCTGCTGAGGTATCAAAGATCAATTTTGATTCTTTTCTGCAGGAAAAGAAATGTCTCTTCCTCCACTAACAGGTTCTATCAAAATGACTTAGGCATCAGTACCTCACTTTTCCTTCCATTGTAGTGTTTTATCTTCTTCATACCTAGAGCTCACTCTACCTGTTACTCAAGAAATAATTAAATGTTCTTCTTCTACAAATACCCACGGATCATAATTCATACACAACTCTTGATCAGGAGAAACTATAAATGGGCAAAGTGGTTGATGGGATATAAGAAAATAAGGGGTGGGCAAGGACACTGGTGAATTGGACAGTGCAGTTACTCAGTACCAAAGATTTGAGTAATGCAGAAATATAACCACACAGTTACAAGGTCTTCCAATTTTTTAAGATAAGCCAGAATCGTGTGTGTGTGTGTGTGTGTGTGTGTGTGTGTGTGTTTGTGTGTGTGTGTGTTTCCCTGATTTTAATGCACTGTGATCAAAGTAAAATACATCTATGCCCCACGTTTGGTACAATGGGCCATCAGTTTTCAACCCCTGATATAAACCATTTATTAGATATAAATCTTCTAATGCAGTGGCTCTCAACCTTTCTAATGCCACAACTTTTTAATAGTCTATCATCTTATAAATCTAAAATGGTTTGTATTTTCATAGGCATTAAAGTTTGAACTACATTGTGGAGCAGGAGGGACAGACATTTCTTCTGGACATAAGAATAGTTTCACTATAGTTGCTATGTGCTAGTAATGTTAATTGTATTGGCTAATTTTACTGATCTGTTAGTTTTGGAATGTGGCTTTATATGTATTCTTTGATTCAAGCCTCACAATTATATTAGTCAGAATAAGCTAGGTACTATTGCAGTAACAAATAAACTCACTATCTCTGTGATTTAACATAGCCAAAGTTTATTTCTTCCTCATGCTACATGTCCAACATGGATCACGAAGGTGCTTCTGCTCAATGTTGTCACTTAGAAACGCAGGCTGCAAGAAGTTTCATCTCAACAAGTGCTTCTGCCATCATCAAGATAGGCAAAGAGGATGAGGCCAGGCATATTCTGGCTCCTGAAGCTTCTGTCCAAGAGAGACACATATTACTTGTGCTTACACTCAGAAATTCACTTAAAGGGACAAATCCTTGGAGGTGTAACCCAATAGTATTTTAAATAGAAAGAATGGTTAGGAGTGAAATGCTTTATCAAACATTAGAAGATCTCATAAAGGCACTAATTACAAATCAGGTATATACAAAGAAATAGACAAATCAGTAGAAAAGGACTTAGAATCCAGAAATATATGTACACATAGGGTTGGGTGAAAGTAGGTTTACAGTTATGAGTACTCGAAAAACAGAGTTTATTATTTTAATATTCTTATTATTGTATTCTTTCCATAAAATACATATATGAGAATTTAACACATAATAAAGGTAATAGTCCAATTCAGAGGAAAAGGATGAATTATTTTAAGTGATATATAAAAATTAAGTTAAACTATTCGCATACAAAAATAATTTCAGATGGATTAAAAATTTAAACATAAAAATAAAAGAATAAAAATTATCCAAAAATGTACCTATATGGGAAAATTTATATAGCTAAGACAACAAACTTAGAAGCTATTAAATAAAAATGTAAATTTTAGCTATTTAAAAATATATTTTAAGTAACAAAAATAGATAAAAGAAATTTAGGGGGAAATTTTAATGTAGATGAAAATACAAGAGTAAACAACTAGCTCTTCCAACACACAATGCAAAATAAAAGGAAGTAAATTGTCAACTTGCAGAGGAGCAAAACCAAATGGCCTATACATTTATGAAAATACATTAAACTCAGCAGGAGTTAGGGAAATGGAAAATAAAGCAACAGTGAGGTTTAAACCCATCACTCTAGAAAAAATAAAAAAGGGCAATAAGCTCCATTGTCATGGTTGCAGGGAGAAATGGTACTCTTACCATTGCTGGTGGGAATGAGAATTGTTATAATATACTTTGGAAATCAATCTGGCAACATTTTAAAACTAAATAGCCGCATCCTTTGACTCGGATTCTCAGCTCTAGAAAGCTACCCTATAAAAATAAAAGCGCCAGTACATAAGAACACATGTATGGCAGTTAATCACAGCATTGTTCAAACAGAAAGTTGAAAATAGAGCAAGTCACGGTGCAGCTACACCACAGGATTCGTAGAAAATGAAGTAAACTAAACCAGTTGATGTGGATACATTCTGTTGAGTTATTTCCAGTGAAAAAGACAAATGTAGGAAAGTAGTATATAATATGACCCTTTTTTCTAAAAAATGCCCCCCCAAACCCATATATATATATATACATATATATATATACTTTTATGTGCTGTTTTATACTTACACTAGAGGCTCAATGCACGAAATTTGTGCAAGAGTAGGCCTTCCTTCCCCCAGCTGCCAGCACCGGCTTCCCTCTGGCACCCAGGACCCGGGCTTCCTTGCAGCCCCGGCTTTGTCCAGAAGCTTGTCTGGAAGTATGTTCAGTCTAATTAGCATAATATACTTTTATTATTACAGATAGAATTATATGAGCATGGGTTAAAAATATGGATAGATGCGAGCCAGTTTGATAGCATGGGATGTGTGGGGGAAGAAGCCAGGGAGGGAGGAGGTGCTGGCAGCTGGAAAAAATAGTCTGCACTAATAACTCCAACATAATAATCCAATTTATTCGTTAAATGCAAAGATTTATATATAGTATATATGTTCAAATAATTTCTAAGCATAATAAAAAATGCAAATCTGATCATATAAAAGCAAATGAAACATTCCAAACTAATGCAGCTTCTTCAATCTACTTTGTTGTGAGACAAGATGTTTTCATTCTATAGAAGATCCAGTCTAAAATATACATCAGATTGAGGCCTGTGAACCACTTATCCCACCAAACATAGCAAAGACTCACACTGTCATCACCTGACAGCAGGTGCTTCCCAGAAGTAGATAGCATCCATGTAGACAGGCAAGCTTCTCAATGTGTGTGTTTTGTATTTCCAAAGTATATGAATCTGCCATCAACCATACCCTCCCACATCCTACTCTTCGGCTTCTTTCCAGAAAAAGTTATCTGAACCTCTTTGCTATCCAAATGAGCTAAAAGCTATCCCAAATAATAGTTGTTAATAGTTGCTATTAGTTGATAATTATAATAATGATGGTGGTTAGAGCCTCTGGTTCGATTCCCAGTTAAGGGCACGTACCTGGGTTGCAGGTTTGATCCCCAGTTCCTGTCAGAGCACATTTGGGAGGCAACCAATTTCTCTCTCTCCGTCTCTCTCTCTCTCTCTCTCTCTCTCTCTCTCTCTCTCTCTCTCTCTCTCTCTCTCTCTCTCTCTCTCTTCCCTACTCCCCTCCACTTTCTCAAAAAATGTCTTTGGCCGAAACCAGTTTGGCTCAATGGATAGAGCATCAGCCTGCAGACTGAAGGGTCCCAGGTTCGATTCCAGTCAAGGGCATGTACCTTGGTTGCGGGCACATCCCCAGTAGGGGGTGTGCAGGAGGCAGCTGATTGATGTTTTTCTCTCATCGATAATGTTTCTAACTTGATGTTTCTTACTTGATGTAATATATATATATATATATATATATATATATATATATATATATATATATCTTTGGGTGAGGACTAACAAAAATGAAATTTAAATAAATATGGGTTAACTTGAATTTTCTTCTAATTCAGGGGTGGGGAAACTTTTATCTGCCAAGGGCCATTTGTATATTTATAACATAATTCATGGGCTATACAAAATTATCAACTTAAAAATTAGCTTGCTATATTTGCTCATTTAATTAACTCATCCCTAATCCTTGGCAGGGCCAAACCAGAGGATTTAGAGGACCTTATACCAACATCCCTCACCCTGTAATTGATAGGTCTGGCAAACCTATCCGGGTAAAGGTTTATAATGGTAATTGATGTATATTTTGGACTGGATCTTCTATAGAATGAAAACAACTTGTCTCACAACAGAGTAGATTGAAGAAGCTGTTGAACCTGGCTGCAATTCAAAAATTTACTAGTTAGTAGTCTTGTTTTAGCTACTAGGCAGGGAGGGTCAGGGTGGAGTAAGAGATCAACCAAAGGACTTGTATACATGCATGTAAGCATGACCCATGGACACAGATAGTAGCAGGGTGAGGGCATGTGCTGAGAGGTGGGAATGATCTGGGAGAGATCAATGGTGGAGAAAAGGAGACATGTATAATACTTTAAACAATAAAGAATTTAAAATAAAAAATAAATTTAAAAAATAAAAGATAAAAATAAAATTTGAAGCTTCCATTCTTAGTATGTAGGTGCCCCTAAAAAGGCTGCCCAACATTTGCAAAGTAGTGGGGAAGTCAGGAAAAGAGCTCGTAGATCTCTGATTTCCATCACTTCGCCTGTACTGTTGGCCTCAACTGCCACAGCCAAGCTGGTCAGACAGAGAGAACAAGTCATTTATACTCCCTACAGCTGGGTGTTACCATGTGTGTTCTAACACATGATCTCAGAGAGCCGGGTTGATGTACTTACTAGCACTTATAAAAATTTGTAATTATGTGCTTATGTGTATGATTATTTAATTGCTATCTCCTCCACTAAGACATAATCTCTATATAGTTAGGGACAATATACTATAACCCCAACACCTATCATGGTAGCTGACACACACTGAAATTCAGTGACAATGTATTGATTTAATGGATGAATAAATATGTAATATGAGGAAAATTATCTTAAAGTATCCCACTGACTTATAGTATTCTCTAAATGCCAGAGGCTTTGGATTTTATTTATTTATTTATTTATTTATTTATTTTTTAATATATTTTATTGATTTTATACAGAGAGGAAGGGAGAGAGATAGAGAGTCAGAAACATCGATGAGAGAGAGTCATCGATCAGCTGACTCTTGCACACCCCCTACTGGAGATATGCCTGCCACCAAGGTACATGCCCTTGACCGGAATCGAACCCGGGACCCTTCAGTCCCCAAGCCGACGCTCTATCCACTGAGCCAAACCGGTCCCGGCCAGAGGCTTTGGATTTTAAAGTTAGGCCCCAGTGCTGTCAGTCTGTTCACACATCATCTAGTGGAGTAAGTGCCCGAGGGAGCATGGCTCTGTTCTGTACAGTTACTCCAAACAAAACAACAACCCATTTCATCCATGGCTTTGCCTCTTAGCGGAGCTACAATTAATGAAGATAGATATTTGTGATGTATTCTAAAATATTTTTAATTTCCTCTATTATTTTGTTCCTGGAGCTTGAAATCCTAACAGTAATTAAAGAATTACTAAAAGAAGAGATTTCATAGAAGGAAGAGGAGTCTCTCTTGAACAGATTGAAAGCTATTCAATAAGTATGCTTTTTTCAAGATGGTATGCTCAGCTGGGGGACTTTTCATTAAACTAAATTCCATCATTAGCTTTGACTAGCACCAGCTGATATATAAAGTCTGTCTTGGTGTAGACCTCCACTGGTATTCCATATATTGCAGGTAAATCTCTCACTCCAAAATTTCCAAACATGCAGTATGAATAATTAACATCTGATAAATTCAGAGTAGGAAGAAGACATTAAAAGACAATAGTGAGCCGGGACCGGTTTGGCTCAATGGATAGAGCATCGGCTTGGGGACTGAAGGGTCCTGGATTCGATTCTGGTCAAGGGCATGTACCTTGGTTGTGGGCATATCCCCAGTAGGGGATGTGCAAGAGGCAGCTGATCGATGACTCTCTCTCATCGATGTTTCTAACTCTCTATCTCTCTCCCTTCCTCTCTGTACAAAATCAATAAAATATATTAAAAAAAACAAAAAGACAATAGTGAGGTCACAATACCATCTCAGCTCCTCAGAATACTGAATCAAACAGGACTTTAGTTGTTAAAATGAAGAGCATTTTAAAATCTCTCCATTCTTAATTTTTCCTTAAACCTATTAAGAAATGGGGAGTTAGGACTTGCGATAGAATGCTTTAGTCTTTGCAGCAAAGTTAAAGACAGAACCCAAGACCCAGCACATTCTAATTTAATTGACTTGGGAGTTCTAATTTCATATCAATTTTCAAGAATTGGGGTTTTGTACCATCCATAATTGTTCTCCCATCTAAATAGTTCAAAGTCTACTATTATTTTAACACAAAAGAGAAATTTTTCCTATTTATGAATCCAATATTATTTCTGTGAGACATAGCATAATACAACTCAAAGGAGTTTTTAAAAGTTTCTTATAATGTTGAATTTATGAGAGCATCTACTTTTTTAATGAAACATGCCATGACAGTGCAGTGGTTGAGAGAAGAATGTTCTGCAGTTAAATTTTTGATCCTCAGTTTCTTCCTCTGTAAAATGGGAATAAGATTAGTATACAGATCATGGACTTACTTCAAGCACTGAGAGAATGTAGTTAGCATAATACAGTGTATTTATTTTCTATTATTGCACAACAAATTACCACATAATTAGTGGCTAAAAATGACACCCACTTATTACCTCACAATTTCTGCAGGTCAGAGCATGGGTTAGATGGTTCCACTACTTAGAGTTTCACAAGACTGCAATCAGGTGTCAGCTGGACTGTGTTCTTATATGGAGGCTCAAATGGGGAAGGAACCCTTTCCAAGCTTACTCACATTCTTGAATTCATTTCCTTGAAGCTTTAAGACCAAGGATTCCAGCTTCCTCATGGCTGTTGGCTGGAGGCTGCTCAGAGCTCCTCACCATGACAGCTTACTTCATCAAGCAGCAAGAATAGTCTTTAGGATGAATCTTCTAGTAAGACAGTCCTCTATTATGTAACACAATCATAAGAGGAACATACGACTTTTATACATTCTATCAATTGGAAGCAAGTCACAGGTCCTACCCACACTTAAGGATAAACACCAGGAAGCAGGGCTCATTGGTGGCTACATTTAGTCTCTGAATCAATGTAATAAGTGAATATATTAATGTACCTGTGAATGAATGAACAAATGAATTAGTGAGTGAATCTGAGTAGCAACTTAAGTATGAAAGGAGTAAGCCACAGACCACTTAGGCATCAAAAAAACATGGAAAATAATTCTAAATTTAGGACAAACAGATAAACAGAGCACTCTGCAGGTTACTGCTCAGTTGTAGTCATAATACAAGTATTCAACTTTTGTGAAAATACTGAATTAAACATTTATGGAGCCTGGGCTCTGAGGCCCAGAGAATGTCAGTAGATCTCAAGAATGGTGGGGAATGGAACCCTGAGGGAAAAATAGGGTTTTTAGTACACTTTAAAGTGATAATCCTATATAATAAAAGCGTAGTATGCAAATTGTCCCCTTGACCAGGAGTTCGACCAAGGGGTGGGGCCGGCCAGGGGGAAGGGAGGGAGGCCACGTACACTGGGCTTCTAGTTTTCTTATAATTA